ATGTAAAATCCGGTTAAATGAAATAATTCTTTTTGTTTCTTCTAAATCATCTTACATAGAGGGAGTAGTTTTTTTCCTCGAATATTGGTCATTCTAATCATACTAACTTCAATTTCAACGAATTCTGAAAGAAAAACCATTAAAGGCAATGAAGTGCGTGATCAAACATCCGGTTAACCCTAAATTAATGCAAAACTCATCACGAGAAATAAGACTATTTGGGGGCACAATGAGAGTCACGTCCACCACTTTTCGATAGAGATACTTGAGTGGGCATTCGAGTATTTTTGTTTTGTCTCTAATTCAAATTCTGCTATAAAAATTATATTATCTTTTCTTTTTAGGGGGTCTCATAGAATAGCATATTCATGTACTTATGTGTTTGTGTATATATCCAAGAGTGTGTGATGATGCGTTTCTTTTACATTGCAATAAAAATAAGAAAATGTGAATTTATAATCCCTTTGTTTGGGGAGGGAATTTGGACCACACAACTTTATATTATCATTTACTAGTAATTAATTGTTTACTTTAATAATAGTTTTTCCTTAAGAGAGACTAAGCAAGAGCACATGATATCATCTTAATTTGATTAATTATGCCGAGTTTAAAAGATAAAATGTGGAAAACAAAACTGGCAAATGGCCTCTGACTAATATTATGCTAACGATCAATTAGAGATTGTACTAGCTGGTTTGATCTCTGTCCGGTTCAATTTCTGCTTCTTGAAAGAAAGCCTTTGGTTAGTTTTCCGCATATAATCTTTGCATGAGGATCGACATAGAAAGTGTCATTTCTCCATATGTGTCTTTATAAAAATTAGGGTCTTGAAATAAGTAGTTGTCGCATTAAATAATGATCAAGTACATTTGGTGAAATCAATCTGAACAGGTAAGATAAGTCAATGCGTGCATGCCAATATGTGTACAGGCATGTGTGTGTATATAGAAATAAATATTTGCGTTTATATCCATACGAAGACGATATCGATTTCTGTGTCTCAGATGTATCTGAATGCAGAAAGGAAGAGTCGGAAATTACTTTCTATACAATATAAAAGAAACTGTTTGGTTCTACAATTTATTACAGCTTTCCATTTACGTGAGTGTCCTATGTACCACTTCGAGTATCCATGAGGTTAATTTTGGTGTGTTGTCATTTTGACCTTATTTTATTTGACATGACTTGCGAAACATTTTTATATTCCTACGGATACAATAATGAATGTTTGTTTGTAGAGATGTAGTTTTCTGAATAGTTAAATTTTTGTTTGGTCAACAATTGAATAGTAAAATTATAATATTGGATACATCTGAGACACAGAAATCGATATCGTCTCGTGTGGATATAAACGCAAATATTTTCTTAAACGCAAATATTTATTCCTATTTAAAGTTAAATCTACAACTATTAATTCAATACTTACTTGAAAAAAATATGTTTTGCATTTTGGAACAAAACGTAAACAACAAAACTAGATGTTTTGTCATTTTGAAAACAAAACGTACAAAACATTATGGGTTGCATTTTGAAAACAAAACGTAAATACAAATATTTTTTTCATTTTCGAACAAAAAAATAGAAATTAATAAATTTCAGATAGCATTTTACATTTTCTTAGTTGATAATAGAAACGAAAGTTTTGATCAAGCTGCCAGCGTTGTTATATTACTGCATTTTTCTTCTTGGAAGTTTTCGAAAATGATTTTTCTATAAAAAAAAAAGTTTTCGAAAATGAGATCATCAGAACAACAAAACGATGGCGTCTTCTATGGATGTTGTGTGCATCTCGGCATCTGAATACATTAAGGGGTTTAGTTTATTGAATTAATTATGATTCAGGTGATAGAAATAACACTGCCACACTGGTAAATAATATTCTCTTTTGTTAAACACTTGTGATATATATATATATATATAATACTCAAAATTTATAAACCGTTTCGTACAATCTATCGTGAATTATGGTAATATATGTGACTTTTTTTTTATTCCGTAAAATAATCCCTTTAAAATATATATGTGAATGAAGATAGAGCATGCATCAGAAACCATGTGTTGATCTCGTGGATAAATCGACTAAATCAGTAGAACTACCCCTTTGAAATCACGATACCATCATTTATAACACAGTACACCAAAAATAATTTCAAAGTCAATTGTTAAAATTTTCGGCTTTTATTTTCAACCGGACAAAGATGTACAAGCCTACAAGGTCTCTAGCTAAGTTTAACCTAAATGTCAGGATCACGGTAGCTTCACTGCATTCTGCACATATTGTCTCCATTCACCGTGAAAGAAAACACCAAGTGGACCAATTACTGTAATAACTTTTCTAAACAAAGGGCTTTTCATTACTGAACCAAGTCCATATCGATGTATTTGTGAAAAAAAATTATTGAAAATGGGTTTGGAAAAAGAAAAAGAAAATTGATTAATTAATTAGGAGAAAAGTAGGGTAGGTTTTGTTTCAACAAACGGGGAATCACCGACGTGACTTTCGGTTAAAAACAGAATCGACTCTAGGAATTAGTTTAGGTGAAAATAATTCAAAAAGTACCATCTCGAAAACAAGGACAAACTAGTTATGTCTTTGGAGCATGTCATTTGTATTTTAAACCTGCAATAGCCGAAGTTACCGTTCTCCGTACGTGTTGCATTCTTTATATGCTTTTTTTTTTCTTATCCTTTGGTCTTTTGAATGATTAAATTATCTCCTCATTTTCTTAAGGATTATTTCCTTAAGCATGAAAATATATCACACTACAAACAATATGATATATCAGTTATCACATTTTTAGGCTTTTAGCTGTTCTAATCAATCAGCGGCTATATATAACCTTTGTTTAGTACTTTTTTTTGTAACAATGGTTTGTTTAGTACTTGAATAATTGATCTCGACAGAGAGAGCTGTTTTAATCTCAATATCTTTTGGAAAGAAAGTTACACACTTCACAGTTCACTTATTTGTAGTTTAATATGTATTCGTGCTTAAGTCCCAAAAAAAAAAACTTCAGAAAATGAGGAGTCAATTTAAATTAGGATCTCTAAAGGCGTGATTAAAGCAGCTGAACTTCTTTCCCATAAAATATGGCTTTCCTTATTTTATAATTATTTATTTTCCGTACCACAGTGTCTTACTCTGACTCTGATTTTTTCTATTTCTTTTTATTAAATAAACCACAAAAATAATTCACTATCAAGACTTTCGTTTTTCCATATAGATTAAACTAAACCGGTTAGATTCGTTTTTGAATACCAGGTGTCTGTTAATGTGAACCCCATTATCTTCCTATTTTGTTAATGATGAATAATAATTGTGATTTAACAATCAGAACGAATAAAAAAAACGAAGGCCGTAATCAAAGGAAAGGAGACAAGAAAAAATGGAAGATGTGTGAACAGATACATGTTTTCTTACACACTCCCAATCTTTAATCACTTTGGCTACTTGGGAGGCCGTATTTTTATCCTTTTTACACACTGCCAATCTTTTAATCACTTTGGCTACCGAAATTTGCTTATAATCCCAGAGAAAGTATAGTGTTCACATTAATAGGCACCTGGTTATAAGCCATTAGAACGATTACTTATATGGCTAGTTGCAATTGTAGCTATAACTTTTTAATCGCTGATGACGGTAATGTATTCATTGCAGCATTTCCCTTCTAATTGCAAAACATATTTGCACCAGGCTTAAAAATTATTTTTTAAGGCATAGTAAAATTGACTAGAACACACACTTTAGTGGTCTGTAGTAATGCCGACTCTGTGTTATTACGTGAATTTAAACTTTTATACATGTTGAAGAAAAAGACAAAAAAATGAATAAAAAACCGGAAAAAACCCATTCACGGTTGGTAAACGTTGTCTGTTTAACATTTGAATGTAAAAAAAATAATAACATATAATATTATATGCTAATAATATTATTGATAAAGAAAACTATGAGCAGATGGTTTTCATTAGTAATTTTCTGTAGTAGGTGATGTGGATTATGACTTCTAGTCACTACTGTGCACATTTTCAGATCTAAACAACAATCATAATCGATAATTATTGTACCTACCAAATTTGGTAATAACAAAAAGAAGTGCACATTTATTTTATTTGAGACTAACATATTTTAAAATAGTTTATGGGTATTATTTTGATTGTTGCATAATTTGCTTCCCACTGTAAAAAATCATTTTTTTCCTTACAATATCTAAAAATTTGTATAAAGAGAATTTTGAGACAAATGAATAGCAGAACCTGTTGAGCGTCAAAAACTTATCCCAATTTCAGAACAGTGTTCTATGTCGGATTTCATCAATCCCACACTCTCTCTCTTCCATCATCTGTCACTTTCTCTGTTTTCTACGCAACAAGAAACCGCAAAAAAAAAAAACAATTTACTAAAATTAAATTAATTGTTTTTATAAAAAAAGAAAATCCCACTAAGCAAACGGATCCAAGAACATGGAAACAAATGTGGAAAAGGAAATAAAAAACATCAAGCGTGGGTTGAAAATCACTACACGAGAATACAACAATGTTTGGTAAATCTTGAAAATTGGTTTAAAAGAGAAGGGAATTAATACACAAACTGACTCACCAATCAGATAGTATTATACTAAACAGTGAAGTGATAAATACACAGGTTGACTGACCAATCGGATGGTCTTATGTATAATCTTTAAAAATTAAACGGTATATAAAGTTAATTTTTTTTTTTGGGCAACATGGTATAAAAGGTTAATAAATAAGGAAACTAATTAATTAAAAAACGGAAGTGGGATTATTATTACTAAAGTATGGGAGAAGGCAAACAGAGAAGAAAAACGATGCTGAGATTATAAAAATAAGTGTTGTGATGAAGAAGCTATGAGGTTTTAATTTTTTTTTTTAAAATATACATTTATAAGAAAATTAAAGGAATAGTTTTTTTTTTCCTTTTCTCAGAGCTGTTGTGATTTTTGAGGTTCTCTATAAAGTCAAGTAGGAAAACATATACACAAATGTCCCAAGAACCTGATCAGGAAGAAGAAGAAGAAATAAAGTCAGTGGAACAATGGCGTTGGTCCGAAATGCAAGGCCTTGAGCTTCTCCCTGAAGCCTCCTCCGATAAAAGCAACAATAATAATAACAACTCGAGAAACCCAGAAACAGAGCTCCGGGAACATCCTCCTCCGGAAATGGAAAATGGCGGTGGTGCTCCTCCTCCTCCTCCGACAATAGTGGAGGAGCCTAAAAAAGCAGAGATTCGTGGAGTTGCTTTCAAAGAGCTATTCAGATTCGCAGATGGATTGGATTATGTATTGATGGGAGTCGGCTCTGTTGGTGCTTTCGTCCATGGATGCTCCTTACCTCTGTTTCTCAGATTCTTCGCCGATCTCGTTAATTCCTTTGGTTCTAATGCCAATAACGTCGACAAGATGATGCAAGAAGTTCTCAAGGTACCAATTTTAATCCTTCTGTTTGTTCAATTTTCCATCTTCAGTCTCTGAAACACTAATCGAATCACTTGTTTTCTGCAGTATGCGCTTTACTTTCTTGTCGTTGGTGCTGCAATCTGGGCTTCCTCTTGGGCAGGTGAAAGAGAAAGAAAAACCGAAACTTTACGTTTCTTGATCCGTGAGCTAGATTCGATTTTAAGTCGGTTTTTTTTGCAGAAATTTCTTGTTGGATGTGGACTGGAGAGAGACAAACGACGAAGATGAGGATAAAGTATTTAGAAGCAGCTTTAAACCAAGACATTCAGTTCTTCGACACAGAGGTTCGAACTTCCGATGTTGTCTTCGCCATTAACACCGACGCAGTTATGGTTCAAGACGCCATTAGCGAGAAGGTAAAAGCAAAAGCACTGATCAATCAAGAAACTTCAATTTTCTGTCTTTTTTTCCTTTCTTCTTCCTCATCTGATCTGATCTTCAATCTCAGTTGGGTAATTTCATCCACTACATGGCGACTTTTGTTTCTGGATTCATCGTCGGTTTCACGGCGGTGTGGCAACTGGCTTTAGTAACTCTCGCGGTGGTTCCGTTGATAGCCGTGATCGGAGGAATCCATACCACCACTCTCTCTAAGCTCTCTAACAAGAGCCAAGAGTCTCTTTCACAAGCTGGTAATATCGTCGAACAGGTAGAGTGCACAAATCCCAATATACAAAAAAAAACCTTCTTTTTCTGATTCGATTTTCTGGGTCTGATTCGATTATGAAAAAAATGGCAGACAGTGGTACAAATCAGGGTAGTAATGGCGTTCGTGGGAGAATCAAGAGCTTCGCAAGCTTATTCATCAGCTTTGAAGACAGCACAGAAACTTGGTTACAAAACAGGTTTAGCTAAAGGAATGGGACTTGGTGCTACTTACTTCGTCGTCTTCTGTTGCTACGCTCTCTTGCTCTGGTACGGTGGCTACTTAGTTCGCCATCATTTGACCAACGGTGGTCTCGCAATCGCCACAATGTTCGCCGTCATGATCGGTGGATTGTAAGCACTCTTTGATACTCTTCTCTGTTCTGTCATTTTGATTGAAAAAAAATCAGTCTTTTGATGGATTGAGTTTTTGGGTTGTTGTTTAAAAAGGGCATTGGGACAATCAGCACCGAGCATGGCTGCATTTGCGAAAGCTAAAGTTGCTGCTGCGAAGATCTTTAGAATCATTGATCATAAACCCACGATAGAGCGAAACAGCGAGTCTGGTGTGGAGCTAGATTCAGTCACGGGTCTTGTTGAGCTTAAAAACGTCGACTTTTCGTATCCGTCGAGACCAGATGTTAAGATCCTCAACAACTTCTGCCTCTCTGTTCCCGCCGGGAAGACTATAGCTTTGGTCGGAAGTAGCGGTTCGGGCAAAAGCACCGTCGTTTCGCTTATCGAGAGGTTTTACGACCCGACCTCAGGTCAACAAAATCTCCAACACATGCTGTTTAGTTTTACGAGGTGGTTTTGCTCGAGCATTGTTCGTTTTAACACGCTTTTTTATCTGCAGGACAAGTTTTACTCGATGGGCATGACCTGAAGACGCTGAAACTGAAATGGTTAAGGCAACAAATAGGTCTTGTGAGCCAAGAGCCTGCACTATTTGCTACTTCTATCAAAGAGAATATACTCTTAGGCCGTCCCGACGCGGATCAAGTCGAGATCGAGGAGGCGGCTCGAGTCGCAAACGCACATTCCTTTATCATCAAACTACCTGATGGATTCGACACACAGGTCTGGTTTTAACATTACTCAATCCAAATCCAGGTTCTTGAAAATCTGTGTTCTTTGGCTTTTTTTTAATTTCATTAGTTTAAGGTATTTTTAAAAGAGTCAAAAGAGAGAAGAGGTATGGTCATGGGAAAGCATTTATAACAGAGTAACATGGGGTTTGGTCAAACAACGCATGTGACCCAGACAACTAGTTTCAGTCATGTGTGTTGATGTTGAATTTTTGGATGTTCATGTGCCTGTCTTTTTTTTTCTTCTTCTTACTTTAACTTGAAAACCAGCTATCACTACTATTCCAATAGATTTTGCTACCGGATATAAATCTATATCATATGTTTGTTTTATATTCATTTGTTAATGTGAATAATGTCAGGTAGGAGAGAGAGGATTGCAGCTCTCAGGGGGGCAGAAGCAAAGAATAGCAATAGCAAGAGCTATGTTAAAGAACCCTGCGATACTTCTTTTGGACGAGGCAACAAGTGCTTTGGATTCTGAATCAGAGAAGCTCGTGCAAGAAGCTTTGGATCGTTTCATGATTGGAAGGACGACTCTCATCATCGCTCACCGTCTTTCCACCATTCGCAAAGCCGACCTTGTAGCTGTGCTTCAGCAAGGAAGCGTCTCTGAGATTGGAAATCACGATGAGCTTTTCGCCAAGGGAGAAAACGGAGTTTACTCTAAGCTCATCAAAATGCAAGAGGCAGCTCATGAAACCGCCATGAGCAATGCGAGAAAGAGTAGTGCGAGACCTTCGAGTGCTAGAAACTCTGTTAGCTCACCGATAATAGCTCGTAACTCTTCTTATGGAAGATCACCATATTCACGGAGACTCTCGGATTTCTCAACTTCTGATTTCAGCCTCTCCATTGAAGCTTCTTCGTACCCAAACTATCGACACGAGAAGCTTGCTTTCAAGGATCAAGCCAATTCTTTCTGCAGACTAGCTAAAATGAACTCTCCTGAGTGGAAATACGCTCTGCTTGGTTCCGTAGGCTCTGTCGTTTGCGGCTCCTTAAGCGCGTTCTTTGCTTATGTTCTCAGTGCTGTGCTAAGCGTCTACTACAATCCGAACCACGATTACATGATCAAACAGATTGATAAATACTGTTATCTCTTGATCGGTCTCTCTTCTGCAGCGCTTATCTTCAACACGCTCCAGCATTCTTTCTGGGACATTGTGGGAGAGAATCTGACCAAGAGAGTCCGTGAGAAGATGCTTACCGCTGTACTCAAGAACGAGATGGCTTGGTTTGATCAAGAGGAGAATGAGAGCGCAAGAATCTCAGCAAGATTAGCTCTTGATGCCAATAACGTGAGATCAGCCATTGGAGATAGAATCTCGGTCATTGTGCAGAACACAGCGTTGATGCTTGTTGCTTGCACTGCTGGTTTTGTTCTGCAATGGAGACTTGCGCTTGTCCTCGTTGCAGTCTTCCCTGTAGTTGTTGCTGCAACTGTGTTACAGGTTTGTGTTCTTGCAAAGTAAAATGTACATTCTCTTTTAGTGTTGTTCTTTAGCTCTGAAACCTTCTTTTGAACAGAAAATGTTCATGACTGGATTCTCTGGAGACCTGGAAGCGGCGCATGCAAAGGGAACGCAGCTCGCTGGTGAAGCCATAGCTAATGTCAGAACAGTCGCGGCTTTCAATTCAGAGGCAAAGATTGTTCGTCTCTACACTGCAAACCTCGAGCCACCATTGAAGCGCTGCTTCTGGAAAGGACAGATCGCTGGATGTGGCTATGGTGTAGCACAGTTCTGTCTTTACGCATCTTACGCTCTAGGGCTATGGTACGCGTCGTGGCTTGTGAAACACGGCATCTCTGACTTCTCCAAAACCATAAGAGTCTTCATGGTTCTGATGGTCTCAGCTAATGGTGCAGCAGAGACGCTCACACTGGCTCCTGATTTCATCAAAGGTGGTCAAGCTATGCGGTCTGTTTTCGAACTTCTTGACCGGAAAACCGAGATCGAACCCGATGATCCTGATACCACCCCAGTACCAGACCGGTTACGTGGCGAAGTCGAGCTTAAACACATTGATTTCTCTTACCCTTCAAGACCTGACATACAGGTTTTCCGAGACCTTAGCCTTCGTGCTCGAGCTGGCAAGACTCTAGCTCTTGTAGGTCCAAGCGGGTGCGGGAAAAGCTCGGTGATTTCTCTCATCCAGAGATTCTACGAACCGTCCTCAGGCCGAGTCATGATCGACGGTAAAGACATAAGGAAGTATAACTTGAAATCCATAAGGAAACACATCGCCATTGTCCCTCAAGAACCGTGCTTGTTCGGAACAACCATCTACGAAAACATTGCGTACGGACACGAGTGCGCGACCGAAGCAGAGATCATACAAGCCGCGACTCTAGCCAGCGCACACAAGTTCATATCTGCGTTGCCTGATGGTTACAAGACTTATGTAGGAGAGAGAGGCGTTCAGCTCTCTGGAGGACAGAAACAGAGGATAGCGATCGCTCGTGCACTCGTGAGGAAAGCAGAGATCATGCTGCTCGACGAGGCCACAAGCGCTCTTGATGCAGAGTCAGAGAGGTCGGTACAAGAAGCATTGGACCAGGCTTGCTCTGGTAGAACATCGATCGTGGTGGCTCATAGGTTGTCTACAATCAGGAACGCTCACGTGATCGCTGTGATCGATGACGGGAAAGTGGCGGAACAAGGGTCGCATTCTCATCTTCTCAAGAACCAGCCTGATGGAATCTACGCGCGGATGATACAGTTGCAGAGATTTACTCATACTCAGGTGATTGGTATGACGTCAGGTTCGAGTTCTAGGGTTAAAGAAGATGATGCTTAGTAGTTACTACTTTTGGTCATATATAGAAGAAGAATGAACAGAGTAAAAAACAAACACCAGAAGATGTTCTGAAAAAAGAAAACCTACGAACTCATTTTTTTTTTCTGTTTTAATTTTGGGGTTACTTATTTTTGGAACTACGTTTCAGATTTGATGGTATAGTATTATTATTGTGTATTATTATGATTAGTCTAATTCTTCACCTCTGTAATATCCATTTATGCTTTATCAATCTATGAGCCTTGCAACTGAAGTTATAAGCGATAAAATTCTTGCCATTTCTAACGAAAATAGAAAATATTCAAATTTTGCTCTGTTTTAACTTTAAGACAAGTGTATATAATTGTATTGAGGTAATACATATCCCACTATCATCGAATGCACTCGTTTCCTATCTACGTTAGTTTGATATAGATTTCAGGATAGGCCTAACTTTGGAATGATGAGATCCGTTCTAAAGAAAAATATTATGATATATGATGAAATGTAACCTTTTAAGGTTTTTAATCGTATTGGTTAGATGGGTTTTGAATGTTGTGGGTCTAATATATTAATGTAAAGTCCCCTTATCATGATTCCTTTTAGGGAAATTACATCATGATAAACAAGGTGAACATAGAAACTTATTAAAATTTATGACAATATTGTCAAATAAAGAGGAATATTTATAAGTAAAAGACACACGAACATACGTGGGGAACAAAATTATGAAAACGAGAAAAAGAAGATGGGTCCAAAAAGCACATTAGATGAGATGATGAGAGACTCAAAGCAAAACCGAAAAAGAAAAGAAGGGACAAACATTTCTTTTGTGTTTATGTGACTTTTATGAACAATTCTTGATTTCGTTTCTTTCTGCAGCACACGCGTGCGACCATATACTGTACATGCATATATGCTTATAAAGAGACACGCCATGATGATGATGACGACTAGTTTGTTTTAGTTGTTGAATGCAATAAATATGTTTATGAACAAACTTGGAAGCTATAGTGGAGGAGAAGAAGCATGCAGCTATCTACTTGGCACATGTCACTCAATCATTGAGAAATTCAAGGAAGGCCAGAATAATCTTACACGGATGGATTTCTCCAAAATCATATGTTCATTTTGGATATAGGAATGTGTAATAAGGGATGAGAATCAAATTCGGTTAATTTGAAAAATATAAAATAAAACTAATATACATGACGAAATTTAAAGAATGGAAAATATAAAATAAAAATAATATAAATGACGAAATTTAAAGAATGGAAAATTATTTACATGTAGATAGAGTCACTACTGAAATTTTAAATAAATTGGAAAATTTCCATGTGTGATAATGGAGGTATAGAGTAATATCAGGTAATATGGAGATCTTTCTCTACTTTTATATTGCTTTTATTTCAAAATTTTAACTATCCAAAGTCCAAAGGGAAATGTTTTAGATACCCCATATGCATATTTGACTTAATTTCATATCTATTAAAACTTTCCAAACATATAACAACTACACAACTATGGAAATTTGTAATCTTTGTAAGATTTTTTATAAGATTGTATGGTTTTGACTAATTTATAGGTTTCATATGGTTTATCAAAACATTTGGAAGTATACTGATCAGAGTACATAAGATAAGACTGTTGGTTTATGACCCCACGAAAAAAACATAGGACTGTTGATTTTTTTGACACTTTAAAATGGCGAAATATATTTCATTCATACTTTTATAATTCTCATCAGACTTTCCTGCATTTACATACAAAATCAAGTTAAGAAATTCAAAGCGCAAATTAACAAAATACAATGTAAGTCATCTAATAACTCTTCATCGAACTTGTAGGAGTCTTGGTCTGGCAAACAAAAGGGAATTACTCCACAAACACTCACTCGTAGCATACAAAAAAGAAGAGATGAGGATGAGTACAAAAGCGGTGAAAAACTATCTTGATCAATATAGTTATTATAGTGAAGTAAAAAAAAAAAATCATTTCAGGGCAACACTAACATGTATAACGACAGAAGGATCGACATACTTGCTAAAAAAACCATCCTAAATGAGTTCGTATCATCGTTGTCTTCACCAAAGCTTCAATATCAGCTCCACTAAAATTCTCAAAACACTCCATTCTCGATATGGCCTCCAAATCAACACTTTGATCAATTGGAACTTGGAAGTTCCCTCACAAAAGAAACCACGAAAAGAGGAATTTTGTAAAAAAAAAAAATTAGGATATCAGTGATTTTTGAAAAGAAAAAAAAACGTAATATACCATCTTTTAACTTCTTTGAAAACTCCATTTCTTCTTAAACAAATTTATCAAAGTATTCTTAATATACATGTGAGTGTGACATTTGAGGTAACCATTTGATATATCAAGGGTCTCAGTCCATTTCTCAGTCTTGAGAAAGAAGAGAGATTTTTTTCAAGATTTAAGTCAGTCGTTTGTATAACTCAAGTTAATTAAGCTCAATTAAAGCGGAAGCTATGGGCGTGAAGTATACAAGTCAATGGAATGGAAGCACAAATTGTGTCATTTTCGTTTGTGGTAGAATAATGGACTTGTGGAGAATGGTTATAGCAGAAGCATAAGTAATCAAATAACACTCCAAAGTGATTAATACTTTACTATAAATGTCATGCTATATGAAAATAGTTAGTTTTCAAAAACATTAACATCGAAGGGGGTAATTTTACAAAGACAAAATCCCAAAGAAAAACAGTAAAACTCAAACAGCCATCATCAGCTTTGGACCATTGTCCGGCATTCCCATTCCAGCCGCTAAATCTGCATCGAGCTGTGAGTGTGGCGCCGGTCCCTTCATTATCTTCACACTGCAATCACACAAATATCAAAATGGAGAGTCTAATCAATGCCATCAAAAACAATAGTTATACAAACCACTTTTATTCATTAGGCACACTTAGCCTTCTAGACATGCGTAGAGAAACAATATAGTCGATGAATATAATAGCATTTGCTGAAACTTTTTGTTAGATTGATCTCACAAGCAGAACAGATAGAATGTCAATGTACTCAATAACAGCAATATCCGTTTCGATAGTTGTAATTCTACCAAGACAAATTCAGTAATTCCAATCTCGAACATATGGTCCTACCACAAACGATCCTTCCATTACAAAAACCAACACTATGAATCCAGGAGAACCCAAAATGTAACCAAGGGGAGGAAAGAATCAAACTTTACCGCTTCTTGTGTTTTTTGGTCTTGAAATGATCATCACGAACTGATGCATTAGAGAAGTACCGACTGAAACAAATGAAACAGAGACACAGGACAATTATTAACTGAATAAAACAGCACACATGAATACAAACATATGATTAATCCGGAACAAAACCAAAAACATCTACAGATGTTCAAACAAAGATTAGAAACATGTAATCTTACTCGCAGTGTAAGCAGTAGAATTGACCCATTCCAGGCAAATCTTCGTCAAGCTGTAAAGGCTTCATCTCCGTCTCCGGTTTCCTCAACTCGGTATACACCAAATCGTCGCGTGGAAGAGAAAATTCTCCGTCAAGGGAACCAAATAAAACCCCAATTGCAATCAACCATTATATTACACCAAATCTAAATATTCCAAAAGAAATATAAAAACTTCGAAACCCAATAGAACAGCGAAAAAGGATATCTTTGACTTCGAATTTGTCCCGGCGAGCTGTTTTGTGAGACAAACGCCTCTTCTTCACCTTCCTCGTCGGGCATCTACCCATTTTATACTCCTAAGTGTCGGGTGAATTTGCAGCAATTAGTGAAATTGAATCATCAATAAGCGAAATTCATGGCTAATTTTGCGAATCTAAACGAATTTACACATCAAAAAGAAAACTTACGATTCAGCAAATAAACTACACGAGGAAGAGAGAGGAGCTGGGGACGAAGATGCGAAAGAGAAACCCTAAAGAACTCTCAGTTTCAGTATAAACTAACCTAATTTGGCGGGTTGAATAGAAAACCTTGAGATGGCGCGAGGCCCATCTTCATAAACAGGCTTACATAGGCCCATAAATTTTTAACCTGGCCTCTTTACATTTGACACAGCACACAACAAGAAGAGTCAAATAGAAGACCAAAATCTGTTATCTATCGGTACCAAAGACGTCAATTTTAATATTAAGGTTGTCAAAAGGAAAGAAAAATATGACACGGTAAGACAAATCGAAATACTTTCTGTTATAGATTACTTTTTGTGCAGTAAAATTTACTATCAGTTACTAGTTCATTAACGTCCAAGTCAAATCTGTAATATATAGTATTGTAATTGCAGAAACATATTGTGCTCTTGTTGTATATATATGGTGGATCGTTACTATGCCCCCTTTTTTCACGTCTTCTCAATTATCACCTATATATTTTACTTTTAGACTCTAGCCCAACATAGACGAGTGTGAATCTCCAACCTTTGACTGTACACAAAATTATGAGTTTTATTGCCAACCTGACAAGTGAAGATTTGGAACTGTTTTGTTTGAGCAATTCACTATTTAGAGAGTTTTATTGAAGTTGTGCGAACAAAACTGTTAAGTTCACATGTTCCAACAACATTCGTATTGATGAGATACAGAAAAGCTGGAAGATCGATGAAATAATAGATCAAAATCGACCAAGTCAATATTATCTAAAAAAATTGTTGATATTTGTTTTAAATATATTATATCCATTTCGTGTAAGAAATTTAGTTGTTTTAGTCTCTACATAAATGTATGTATCTTTAAAAAAGTTTGATGATAATTCTTCCTAAGATCTTCTTTGTTTTTGCTGTCGTTAATTTATCAATTTATCATAAAATACCAGCATCAAATTTCAAATTACAAACACAAACCGCTGATGTTTGCCATTGTTTTGGTCGTTTTCTTTAACGATGCAAGTTTTGATAATAAAAAAATAGGTTCTCAATCAAACTCTATAATCAAAATAATATGCCACCTCGGTTATTACGTCATTTATAAAGAAAAAAAAATCAACAAAACACAAGAAGACATGATGTTGACAAAATGGACCGCTTTAAAAAATAATCAAAATGACGAACGTAACGCAACTACGCAACCTCTTTTCAGATTTACTTTTTCTTATTTCATTTACTTTTACTGTTTATTCTGTTGAACATAAAAACAAAAAATTAAAGTTTACCACCGAACTCAATAAGTTAGTTAGTTTGCAAAAGAAAAAAAGTCAGTAAGTTATTGGCAGTCCTTCGCTGCTTCCATGGAGCTGAAATACAAATTATTGTTACTTAAAATCAATAATTGCTCAGCGAAAGGCCAAAATTTTTTTTATATATGTAAAAATAAAAATTAGTTGTATAAGCTATTAGTGTTGTACGAATTGAGTAAAATAAGTGTATACGCATTAGATGAAACGAATAGTATATTACAACAGAACGTGGAAAATACATTCTTCCTACTTGGAAAAAATGCACGTTACACACAAATCTAGAATTCTTCTTTGTACTAGTACGGTAGTACCAAATATTTAAATAGGTCAAACTACTTGACAAATTACAACCATGTGCGATTGTTTGTTATTGTATTTTGAAATTTAGATCTGATCTTGATATGAGTTAAATAATTTAACATTTCATAGTACCACGAAATATTTTGGAAAACAGTAGCATAAATATCAAACGATAATTCAAAAGATAGGGAACAAATCTTACTATCTACGACCATCATTCCGAGTTAGTGTTAGTTATTACAAATATCTTAACTCTTAAGTGGTAAATATATATCAATTCTACAAATTTCGAAAGCTAATAAGGTTTCAGACCAAACATATCAAACTGTGATATATTTTTCGAAAACAACTCTAACTACTTTTTTGAAGATTAATTTTGTGGACTGTTTGATAAAATCCTAAAATACATCAAAACTTTATATATCGCTGTTTATAATTTATAATGATAGAAAACAGAACAAAAAGAGAAGGGACGAGGAGGTTCCAACAACTTCACTTAGAGTAAGACAAGACTATGCAATTTGCAGAATGGATAACTTTATCGAGAAACATTTATCAGAAGAAAATAAATTATCTTTATATTTTATTTCTAAGAAAACTCGGAAATGATGTCATCAAAAAGTATGGTTCAATCGATAAGTTTGAAGATATCATAGTTGAAGCTAATTATATCATGGCAAGAGATTGAGAATTGATGGCTTGATGAAATTTTGTTTAAAGGTTTAGCTTATAAAACTTTAGGTTTTTCACAGGTAAAACAAGGAAGATGGTGATCATCAACTTTGTTAAACGCTTTTTTTTTTTTATAATCAGCCAAAGACAGTCGTATAATACTAAAAAATCAAACTTCCACATATTTTTGAATTCATAGCAAGAGACTGAGAGTTTTTATCGCATACCTACTTCAAAATTCTAGTTTAGCGAATAACAAAATGATCCCCACTTTTCACACTACTAAAAAACAGCATATACATTAGCTTGGTTAATTAGTTCGCATTTAATTTTGTCGTGGTTAATTAGTTCACATTTAAGACCATGATTTTCTTCTAAGTTCTAACAGAATTCTTATAAGATAAGTATATTCTACGTGACTACTGGTGGAATGTATGTATATATTTTTTACCTTAAAACTGATTAAGATTCGGCTAATCTAGACAGTCATGAAATAGTAGTCAAAGAGAAATGGTGCCCTTTTTGTTTTCAAAAGCAATGACCAAATAATACACGACTAATTAAATGTTTCTTGAAACCTAACAAACAAAAATTAATGTTTATTCAGAAACTTGGTGCCTTCGTGTCTCATACCATCACTTGTGTCAATCCGGCGTCAAACGCCCACACTCGCTGACCTCATATATATGCATAAACACATGAAACATTATGTAACATCAAACCATATAATATTCAGTATCAAATAATATAATAACAATTATCCCCACGCACAAAACCAATTCCTTCATCTCTATAAATACACACATTTGCCTCCACTTCCTCTCGTTCAAACATTTCTTCATCCATTAATTCCAATATTTTAAAAAATATCCTTATCTTCAACCAAGAATGGGAGAGGTCAGTGACTTTCTATTCTTTTTCCCCTTGATCTTGAATTCTTTTAATTATCCAAACTTTTCTTGATTTTTTTTTAATTATGTGTATGTAGAAACAAGAAGGTGCTAAAGTTGAACAAGAGAAGAAGACAGCCACCGTAGTCTCTGCTGAGACGACCGACGGCAAGCCAAAGAGCGGCGGAGGAGATTCCATGGCAGCCCCGGTCGCTGCAGCCTCCTCTGCCTTTGTTTACAAAGTGGATATGCACTGCGAAGGCTGCGCCAAGAAGATCAAGCGAATGGTTAAGCACTTCGACGGAGTGAAAGATGTAACGGCGGATATGGGTGGGAATAAACTCATGGTGGTCGGAAAAATTGATCCGGTGAAACTCCGGGAGAAGTTGGAGGAGAAAATGAAGAGAAAGGTTGTACTGGCCAACCCTCCGCCTTCATTACCGCCGAAATCAGACTTATCTGCCGCCGCCGCCGCCGCCGTTGGAGAGAAGAAAGCCGACGGTGTAGATAAGGCGGCGGCTCCTACTCCTCTTCCTCCGGCAGCTCCAAAAGAGGTAGAGATTTAATTGAATAAGGACACGAGACAACTATGCTTTTTTTTATTAGGCACCTAAAAAATGTAAAACCAGATATAATAGTCTCTAACAAAGTATGAATAACTAATTGTTCAAAAAAATAATATGAATAACTGATTTGGCTTTAAATTGTTTTTGTTCAGAGCTTGGTGCCTTTAAAGATCAGACTACATTGCGAGGGATGTATTCAGAAGATCAAGAAAATAATATTGAAAATCAAAGGTAATGGAATTATAATCCAACGAAGTTGCTATAATTTAAAACTATATAAAAAGCATTATGATTCTGTCAAAAATAAAAAAGCAACATAATTGTGGTAATTAATCAATATTTAATGATTAATTAAACAGGGGTCGAAACGGTGGCTATTGACGGAACCAAAGACGTGGTGACGGTGAAAGGAACGATGGACGTCAAAGAACTTGTGCCTCTCCTCACCAAAAAGCTCAAACGAACCGTCGAGCCTCTTCTTCTTCCGGCCAAAAAAGACGACGGAGCCGCCGAGAAAAAGAATGCAGAAGCCACTCCTCCCGCCGCAAAGAAAGAAGGTCCGGCCGCCGGAGTTAACGAAGCAAAGAAGGAAGGAAGTGAAGCCGGAGAGAAGAAGAAAGAGGCCGGAGACGGCGGAGAGAAGAAGAAAGAGGCCGGAGACGGCGGAGACAAGAAGAAAGAAGCTGGTGACGGCGGGGAGAAGAAGAAAGAGGCCGGGGACGCCGAGAAGAAGGAAGGTGGCGGCGGAGGAGGAGGAGGAGGTGCGCCGGTGGCGATGGTGAATAAGATGGATTATTATGGGTACTCATATCCGACGGCTCCAATGTATTGGCAAGAAGGACACGTGTACGGCCAGAGTTATTCAATTGAAGGTCAGAGTTATCCGGTTGGAGGTCAGAGTTATCCGATAGGAGGTCAGAGTTATCCAGGTTCGGGATACAGTTACGCGAGTGAGAGTTACGTGCCGTACTCGCAGCCAAACATGAACGCTCCGCCTGGAATGTTCAGCGACGAGAACCCAAACGGTTGCTCCGTTATGTAACAATGGGGTCGAATTGTAAATATACGAAACTTTAAGGGTCTCGATATCTAAAACGTAGAACATTTACAAATGGTAGTAACTTTAGATAATTTTTTGAAGTTGAGATGGAGCCAGCGGGTTCTGACGTGTAAGATTTGTTACTTTGTTAGTTAGTTCTTTTATATATTAAACGATTAACTGCTTTACTTACTTTAATTGTAGTGTCAGCAAACAAATAACAAAAATAATGTGAAATGATGAAATAGAATGGTTTTGGTTCATCGGTAGATCTATCATTGTTCTTGAAGTTTCAAGACGAATTATTTATACAGTTTCAATTACTTTTTTTTTTTTGTGGGTGACCAAAACATGTTCAATAACTTAAGAACATGTAGTTTTGTTTTCCATTTGGAAATCATTTTGGTTGATCGGTGATCGGTCTATGTAGAAAGATGATCCAAATGATTATCTTTGTACGAAATCTTGAAAAAATGAAAAAAATGATTAATGACTCTTTTGATGGAAAGCTTATTAAAGGCATTTTCTCGATCAACCATGATGTTATTACTCCATGGTCATTATTGTTACCCTTTATATAAGTAAAGTTTTTCTTTATGGCAGTGAATAAATCATTAGTCCTCCCTTCAATAGTTGATCTATGTAACTAAATAAAGAAGCTATATAATGAGAATGTGATGACATCAGTTGTTGTCATTGTATATATACTTTCTTGCTCAATATATTCCCATTAAAAATGCAAAACAAAAATAAGTAGACATAATTCGCAAATCGAGGATTAACTAACATCAAGAAAAGGGTAGATATTGATGTACGTGAACTCAAAATGAAATTTCTACAGTGAACGAAAATAATGTCTAATTTTGTTTTCCTGAAGACGATCTATATTTTTCTATATTAAAGAGTTGAAAAGATAGCGAGTACGTAAAACTATAGTTGAGAAGAGACCATATATATAAAATTATATGATTAAATTGAAAGTGATGTAACTCGAATAGATTGACTTAAAAAACCCATTAATTATTATCTATACATTTTAGGTCGCATAGGCCATCCATTATCTAACAAAATTAATGAGACCGAATTATTCTCATTATTAGGTATTGTGAGAACATGCGTAGACCGTAAATAACCATCACTACAAGCACCGCTACTTGGTCTAAGAGGGGGTATTAAATAGATGCCCCATTCATAATCATTTTTTTGCCTCCATAACTAAACTATTTGGACAAGATAGATTTTTGCCCCCACTAAGAAAATCTTCTGCCTCCGCCACTGACTACAAGTATTATTATAGGTTCGCTGTTGATCGTAGTGAGAATTACCAACAATTAAGAGTAGATCCTAGATACTCATTGTATTGATGGTAATTCACGCGATGATTAACAATGAAATCTATTCATTTGTCCATTTCATAAGTAAGACGCAATGTTTCACAATAAAAGAAAAAGCTTATAACCACTCCCAACTAATCACTCTTGCATATATCTTTGTGTATTATTTTGTCTTTAAATTTATATATACGTTTATAAGTAAATAAATCTATCATAACTTTATAAATAAATGAATAAATATGTAGCATTAGTTATAAACATAAATCAAGTCACGATATATAATATATATATATATATATACTATACGCGTACGTAATGAATTTGTTAGTAGCATAATTACGCAAGTATTTTTAACGTATAGCACTTGTTTGGGTTCTATGTGCGTGTATGTGTGCATTATTGTTATATTAAGGACATTATTTATATAACTACAGGATTTAGCATGATTAATGGTGTGGCCTAATCTTGACAGGAAAAAAATAGTGACTTAATCTTTACGAATATTTCTTCTAGACTGATGTACAAAGACAAACCGATTAAAACAAACTAAGTCATGTTGATAATGATTTCTATCACTTTCTATTTCGTCTCTCTAATCTTCTTTTCTTTGTAATTGTCGATATATAATTGTATACACAATTAACTTTAAAATTTGTAAGAGTATTTGATTCCATCTCTCAAAATCATGCAATATCAATCATTGGATGCTGATGATAAATTAAACACGCACACACGATTTTGAGGTTTATTTGTGGAATTATAAATATATCCTCTATACCCCATAACCCACTTATTACAAACTTTTCTCTTTGGATACATATCAAATTTAATATGTACAATGTATTTAAAGAATCATAAAAACGTTGGGGATAGCGTGGAACTCTCCTCTACTCTATAGGCAAATAATTGCATGTGTACATGTACGTGTTGCCAAAATGATCACTTCTGGTCGCAATGGAGATAGATAAAAGTAAAGAATAAAACGTATTTGATTTCTTCATGTGACCCAGATATTTGGTCTCACGTAACGATGTAAGCTAGTGGAATTATAATAAGAAAGTGACAATACAAATAAAGTAAAGAAGGTTTATCATGTAGGGCTAAAGAAAATCGAATAAAATTCTTTACGAAAAGGAAAAAAATGAATAATTCAAATATCGATACTTGTTAGGAGGATGATATTAAGATCTAAATCGTGTCAATTCTCTATTTGAGAAAATTGTGGATAGTATATCATTGATTTATATATATCTACCAAGTAAAGTAGACACTTTCTATACGTAAATTACATTCTATCATGGTTTAGTAACCTGTTTGTACTCATACAAGGTAGCAAAATCTGCTGAACTGACTTTAGAGAGCATTAACTTTATAATTCTGAATATATCTTTCGACTAAAAAAAAAAATTCTGAATATATCTCATCATTTTCACGAATACAGTATGTCACAGACTCTAAAAATGCAAACATCATATTGATGATATATATACTATAGTCATTAGTCAATCAATTTCAAAGCTTTCTTACCGCAATAAACTGAATACTACAAATGAAAGCGTCATATTTGAGAACCAACTCAAAGTTCTATTAGTCAATCAATTATAAATCTTTGTTTTTTTTTTGTCAACTTATAAATCTTTGTTTATAACCTCAAATTTTAGATAGGTATTTCTTTACCTAGCTAGAAACGTATTTGGCATATTCTGAACCTAATATACTAGATAAATTAAATTGTATATATACAAATTTATCTAAAGTAATATCATGTATTTGAATGATGAGTTATTCTATTTAATCAAAATGGGAATCCACCTAAGATGCTATGTCATTGCTCACTATGAATATATTTTGGCAAATATTAAACTAATAATAATATGTAATAATAATAGTATAATATGAATTAGGTGATAGGTTGCAAAATCCAATCAAAGGCCACCCATGTCTCCTTCATGGAAGTGGATCTGGCAGCAGAAAATACAAGAACCTTAGCAAATAAATAAATGCAAAAAATAGTGGATATCTGTTTTGTGGTTGCAAATTAGTGGATATCTATATCTATCTATTTTATTGTTGATTGCATTACGATATTGCCACGTAGATAATCTATACACACCACGAATCTATGATTCTCACTAGTAAAAAGATGGAAGACATGTGTGAAACATTAGTGAATAAAATTAAAAACAAGGACGACAAAAAAAAGGTGGAATAAGTGTGATTAGTACATAAGAAATAAAGTAAACATAACATAACTACAATGAAATGGTAACTAAAAAAGTTTATAATAACTTTTAGTTTAATTTCAAGTGATAATAAAGGTTCAAGAATATAAGTTATATCCAAATACGTTTATCGCTTTTGTTATGTAGTGAAAATATTTTAAATAGTTACTTTTAATAGACTATATTTGATTGCAGTCAGTTAATTTACATTGTTAATTGTCAACAAAAGATTAATGGTTATGGTTTGTATTTTCATTTATTGGTTATACAAGTGTTTACGAAATAATAGACATTATGTATACGTATTTATGGCAACACGTATGATATGTAAATCATAATGTTGAATGGTGTCCGCGACAAAATTGGGTTTATGTCTTGAATCTGAAAAGGGTTTGAATTTGGAATCTCTCGGTTTGACTTATATATACGTCTGCGTAAGAGATGATGTATCTTCATCAATCATTATGGTTGGGGACAGGCCGATCCTGACGTTTTTCAAAGCAGTAGTAAACAAAATATGGTTTTAGTTTAGAACCGGTTTGACTCGGCTCCAACATTTATATTTACAACTACTTGCATGTTTTTTTTTTTTTCTCTACAACTACTTGCCTGTTCTCGTTATCGAAAAATAATTACTTGCGTAAACTTACCCAAAAAATTATGGTCGTGCAGGATACCATTTTTGTTTTTGTTTTGTTTTTTTTTTAAATTTTAATGACCTTTGAGTTCATAAATCTTTGTATTAAGGGCGGCATAGCTAGCTATATTTTTATAACTAGACCTACTTAAAATTAACGTTAATCAAATTGAAAAAAGCGTAAGTTTTTATGATTTATCATTAAACTTTGTATTATATTAGGGTTTTAAGAATTATTATTAACGAGTTTCGTTCTTTTATGTTCTCGGTATTCATTTTAACAACTCAACGATGTTAAAAAAACATTTTTGAAAAGTCTGAAAAGTGTAATAGTAACTTGTTGGGGTAGAAAATATAATTATTCAAATGGCGAAGACAATTTCTAGCTAATAGAAAGAAACCCGTGGGTAAACCATTGTATATGATCTCCTCGACTCCTCATGTGTATTGTAAATATATCATCATGCACACCCGTGGGCCGTGGGTCAAATCTCTACGCTTGGTGTAACAAATTGAACTTGTCAAACAATTTGACCATGAAAAACCAAAAGTCAGTTGGATTCATCGCATCGTAACTCCATCTTCTGATTTTCTCCGATCGTTGAACTCAGTTTTTAACAAAACGATAAGTCAACTTTAAGCAAAAAGAACTAATAAGTCCGAAAATGTTTATAAAAAAAGAACTGCAATAGCCAACTTTATATAGAAACTACGTATATGTGTATACGAAATATTGGTTACGTGGGTATCATATATGTAGAAGTTGAATCGTGAGAAAAAAGCTATGGTTTTGAATAGATTTTATTTTGTTTAAACTATTGGACGAGGCCAGAATGGGAAGTTCAAACGAAGACTCCATGAGAAGATTTAGAAGATACATGCATGTACGACCCAGAAAAATCTATCATCTACGTACATTAGAATGGAACAACTAATGTTGCTGCACAGAGTGCACAAATTCAACCGGGTTCTACAATGAAATGTGGCGATGTGGCATTCGATATAATTCCAGGGTTTTAATTTTATTTTGTTTCTCCATTCTAAACAAAAATCGACCGACATATAGATGACCTATGCACTAATTAAATTGGCATTTGATTTTTGTTTGGAACGGTGTATAATGAGGGAAGAAATCAAATGCTGTGTGAATAACATGTCTACTTTTTATTTTTCACCCTAGCCTTTCGCTTGTAATCACCAAACGACACTCGGGCCATAGAGATGACAGCATCAAAACTTTTTCTCCTTACTTTTTAGATAAATAAAGTAAATGGTATTGTTTGAGTTTATAGTTAATAAAATAGGCATGTAATTGTGATGAGTTTTAGTATCAATCATTTTTGGGTCTACCATTCAATTTCCCCAAACTATTTTTCTCACGAGAAACTAACTATCATATAACACCACCAGATTTATGTCTGCCAAACTAAAACCTTGTTCTATATCTCTCCGAAAACAAAGTTCAAAATCTATTTCTCCCCAAATTGTAAAACCTATATATCTACACGAAATGATAAAGAAATATGGTAGTGTTTAAATGGCCCACGACAGTGTAGACTAAATAGAAGCCCATGCATTTAAGTATTGGATCAGACTTGGTTCCTTTATAGGGCCTGAGACAATTTTTAGTAAAAAAGAAAACTCCGGTTTGAAATAGTAATCTGGTGTGGAAAGTGAGCGTTTGGAGTTGTCACACTTTCTCTTTCCGGACATGCGACTTGCGAGATGGCAACCCGAGCCACGAGCCACGTGCATTTACGATTCAAACCATTTCTTTTTCTTTCTTTTTTTTTTCTGTGTAAAAAGAGGCAAAATAGTAGAAAAACCTTTTCTTTTCATTTTCATTAAATTGCTGAAAAAGATTGCTCCATTATATTAATTTCCTAATTTAGATAATATATTTGTTTAAAATAAATACTTAGCGTGATGAAGGCAACTGGCCGAGTGAACTTTATTTGATTTAAAAGACAGAATAAATCAATTAAAAAGACTTTAAATCTTGTTTTTTTTTTCCATTTGTTCCTGAATGCTTAAATATCATTGATTCTTTCGAAAAAGTAGTAAACTCACTTTTAATTTCAAGAATAGAATTACCGACTAAAAAAAAATGCAAGAATAGAATTCTGAATAGTGTATTTAATTTATTAAATAACAGCAGACGAACTATTAAATATATATTGGAGATTTTCACATCTTAGATAATAAGTAATTAATAAATTACATTCATTTTATTTTTCCTTTAATTTTAATGCGAATGTAAAACAAGAAAAAAAAAATTATTTTCCTCTCTGTCTCTCTCTTGTTCAACCGTCGATGTTCGTCGGAAAATATCATCGGCTTCAATTTCGTTAGATTTGCCCTAAATTTTCGACTACTGTTCGCCAATCCCAGGCTCTCACGCTTCGCAACTTTCTCAGGTAAGATTTCTCTTTTTTTTCCGTGTTTTTTTTGGGCCAAACATGTTTCTCTTTTGATTTTCTATGAAAAGTTCGAAATTGTTTGAGTTTGTATTTACTAACCTTAGTTCTCAAATTTCCAAAATTTTCGTGTTCGCTTACGAGATTTAAATGTCTATTAAGCTAATTAAGGTATCGAATTGGGTCAAAATTGGGCGTTTCGTTTTGATCTGGTGAAATTAAATTAGGTTTTAATTGACGGTTGATTTTTATGATTTTCATTTAGCTTCAAAAATTAGGGTTTTATGTTCACTGTGTGTCATGGATGTAGAAATTCTGAAATAGCTGTAGTATTTATGTCTAAGAAGTTCAATTTCTTGGTTGATGATCGCCATACTTTTGCATCCGCATTTTTTCTGAGTTTCGCCATTTTTGGGGATTTTCTTTTCATGATTAGGGTTCATTGCTCTGATTTGTGGGAATTTGAAAGCAAAAGGAAAAGTTGCAACTTGTTCATAAGCATGAATGCTTAAACCAATAGCAGCGCATTATTGTGCAATGCAAGCCGAGAAGGAGGTTTTGTTGAACACTGAAGGTCCCATAGACGAGGGCCGGATAACAAACCAGAACAGCAATCCGAATATAGCCTCTTCAGCTTCTATCAGTGTTGCTCAGTTTCCTGGTATGTTGCATTGATTCAGAAGTTTTGCTTGTTTGTTTGTTTTTTTGGCTTAGTTGATTTCCTTATGGAAGCTTCGATGTTTTGGCAATGTTATGTGTTACTCGGAGCGTAGCTAAGAAGCCGACTAGGCAATGGGCTGCTTGGACACATCAAGAAGAGGAAAGTTTCTTCACTGCGCTTCGTCAAGTTGGAAAGGTATCCGCTGTTCAAGTTGAATGATTTAGCTTCTTGTTTCTCTTTGCTGTGATGTGTGAGTGGCATTCTCTTTGTGTTGATCTTGCAGAATTTTGAGAAGATTACTTCTCGTGTCCAGAGCAAAAACAAGGACCAGGTTGGTTGGTAGAACTTTGGGTTTCTTTTCCTCTTCACTCGCACTTGCTGGTGTTGGCTTTTAATTTATTGTGTTGTGGAAACTTCTTGTGATTTGCAGGTTAGACATTACTATTATCGTCTAGTCAGGCGTATGAACAAACTTTTGGGTCCGGAACTGAGTCTTGATGCCAAGAACCCTAAGGACACAAATGCTGCAATGCTGCGATGGTACTTAATATATACATTCTTTTCTCTTATGGCTTCATGCTGGTAGTGTAGATTCTTAAGCTTATTTTCGTAACCAAAGGATGAACATTACTCTGTACGAAGCTAGTCTAGATAAAAAAATTATATCAAGCAATGAGTATTATGAAGGCAAGGTCACATTAATTTAAGGGTTCTATTCGCCTCAAAAATCTTTGTAATTTGGGAATGCATTTCCTGTTAGTGACAAAAGAACGTTTTGGAAAGTTTTTTGGTTTTAGCTTGTGCATTGAGAATATTTGCCAGCAACCGCTTACATGAACAGATAGTTGCAAGTAGCTATTGACCTATAGATCTCGGACATTACTCCTTTTCTTCTTTCTCCTAGATGACATGATTTCACATATCATGATCTTAATTATTATACAGCTCTTCTGTCTAAACTAAACTTGCTTGTCATTCGCCTTGTAGGTGGTCTTTACTGGAAAAGTATAGCTGCAAAGCTTCAAAACTTCACCTCAAACCCCGGAGATTCAAGCTATTCATAGAGGCCTTGGTTAGTTGGCAAACAGAAGTTTCGTTATAAATCAATACCATCTTGGATTTGACAAATACTTTTTTCCAAACTACTTTCTTACAAACCCTTTTGCATGAAGGAACACCAATTGCTGAAAGACCGTAGAAAGAGCATAAGAAAACGGGGTTGCCAGGGAGAAACTTTCTCTTCCTCTTCCCTTGGAAACATCTCAAGTAATAGCAGGGATAGAGGATTGGATAACCGTCCTTTCAAACTGATTATTTGCGACGGCCAAAATGTTAAAAAGCTAGGGCCGGGAAGAACATTTACCAAACATGGCGAAAGCTTAGGAGTTAGCCTTGGTGATGAAAAAGAAGATACAGCCTTTGGGAGAGGTGGAAGGCAACGGCGAAAACAAGGTTCTGCCTCTGCTAGTTTTATGCATGTTTGGTAGATAGGCAGTTTTCATCGGCGTCATATTTTTTTGTGTGTTTAGAGAGTTCATACAATTTTGGACATTAACTACTTTTAATCTTCCATGTTTCTATTAGATTTTAAGTTTCTATTTGAAAATTGTGATGTAGTTCCGGGTTCTTACTTGACTCTAAGCAATTCTTCCATCTTCAGCAGGTTATAGAAAATGGGAAAAGGCTGCAATAGATGGGGTCTCTTTGGTTGCTGATGCTGCAGAGCACTTAGAACGAACATCGATCGACAAAGATATGGATGGTCAAAAAGGTTTACTTGCTAGTATTGGATAGTAGATCATTTTTCAGTTTCTTGGATGTTTGTATTTTGAGGACTAACATATGCAAATTCTGAATCAGATTCTCTTTTTATTACAGAGTTAGGTCCCACAAGTAATTTAACCGGAAAGTCTCCACTTTCTCTATGCTCATCTGGTGACGTTCCTCTCAGTGATGCCAATATGCAGTTTTCTGGCAAGTTGAAACTTCAGTTGTTCCCAATTGATGAATGTACTCGAAGATCCTTGGAAATGGTAAGCTTCGGATAGGAATAATACTGATTGCAGCAATATTCTTTAATGAGACATGAAACGGAGCTTGATCTGTTAACAGGACAAGCACAATCCGCATCTGGAACTTACTCTTAGTAATCGCAAGAAGATATCTTCTGTGCTGGAACATCTCAATCGCAAATGGGGAAGTTCAAGTTGTGCGTCTGGAGAGCTAATGCTGTTCCCTTACAATGCAAGGAAAGAAACTGTAACTTGTCATCAGAGGTGGACCCATGACTCTTTTCTAAGCGCAGCAGAAGTGCATTCTATGGTTGGAAGTCCCTCAATTTTCCGTTTAAGGTTTGCCCTCACATTCTCCTAGGCATTTGCATGTTTCTTCTCGTCAATATATTAAACAGGATAAACCAAATTTTTGTTATGTATATTTATTTGCAGGTATGGCTGGTTCGTCCATGATGCATCAGGTTCTATTATATCTCAAGTTCCAACTTCAGCTTCTTGTCCTTCACTCGGGGATGATATGAATATGGATGAGGCGAATGAGGTGAACGAGTTTAACATGCTACTTACTGAATCAGGACCCTTATCAGTGCATTCAACTGCTGAACAAGCGCCATCTGTAGTATGTGCCTCTGGTGAAATCCATGATCGTCCTGCAGAATCTGGAGATAATTATGAACCTGCTTTAGCGACTGTTACTCCATTTGAGCATATGAGCAGCGGCAATGCACTATCAGCAGGAGAATGGGCTGATAGTCTTACTAACATAAGTATAGGTGATTTACTCTCTGAAGTGCCCAATGACATAGATAGCGATGATGTGGATCCACCCGTCACTGAGGGTTCACATTGCCTCCTTCGAGATGTCTCATTTGCCTCTGACTCTTTTGATGCTGCAATTGCTGCTCATATACTAAGACACCAGAATAAGCCTAGTGCTCTACTACCAGTGACTTCTGGCTCTTCCTCTCTATGGGATGATGAAGAAACACGCGATGCTTTCTCTTTCCAGAAGAATCGTCTCGCAGCTTCCCCCAAGTTGGCTAATGTTGCTTCTCCTGGAGGTGTAGGCAGAGTAAATGATGAACCTTCTCATATAGTGAAGGTAAACTATATCAATCTCAAAGTACTTCCATAATGGTTGACAGAACTAAACCATTTGATTCAATACTTTGTAACTTTCTCTTAGGCTATATCTAGCGAAGAGGGGCCTTGTAACCCTCCTGACCATGAAGATCCAATGGAAGAGGGTCCAACAGACCCTCATACGATGGATTCTCCAGGGAAGATCCACTGTGGGCTTGCGGATGTATATTGGGTAATTCTCAAAATCTCTTTTTTTTTTGTTTTCCCAAAGTGAAGCATCCCATATATTCAAAAACACTTTTTTTCATTCCTCTTTGCAGCCGGACTCGTTAGGACCACTGGATCTAGACATTAGATCTTCAAAGTATACGGAAGACTTGATCCTCAGTGAGAGCCTCGGGGGTTTGAGCCGTCTGATAGCGACCAGCCTTGATGCGTTTCAAAACTGCTCGCTTTTTGGGTTTGACAGCAAGAAGGATAAGTCTAACATGGTCTGAAATGGAACCAAAGCAAAAGCATGGGGTCAAAATGTTGATAGTTGAAAAAGAAAGTGACTCTTGGCTTTAAAAGAAACTTTTTACTATAACTGATAGCTTCACTGTACACAAATCTAACTCTCTTTCACACATTTTTCTTCTGTGTTGAAACATATTTCTTATGTATAAACTTACTGTTATTTCCATGCTTAGTTGGCTATCAATATCATGCCGTTTTTTTCTTTTCTTTTGTTTATAGAAGTTTCATGGCTTCGCGTTGAATAAACATGTCGAAGAGTAGTTTTAACTCTTTAACAATTGAGTCAAAGTACAATCTTTGGATGCTAAAGTTCAACTTTCAATGTCTACTCACGAAAAAGGCCTTTCAAAACTAAGTTTGGGTTGAGCCAAACCACAACGGTTACCTCACTATAAGAAAACCTAACAATTCTCCCATTATTCCCACCAAATTTATCCAAAGATTATACGGTTCAAAATTCAAACAATCAATCTTCAAAAGAAATAGCCTTATCAAGAAAAGTCGTTCTTAAGCTGATTGATAGAGAATAAAAGTCTCTGTGTTCGCTTGATCAAGCATATGTCTACTTTCATTTCAGTCAATTTTATCTACACGACAAACACTCTCCAACATTTAATTTGTC